CAATGCATCGGAAGGCTTTAAACGATAACATCCCGACCGCACAGAGTAACACGGACACGGTAGGCCAGTGCAGCTCCTGCAATTGTCACAGGCGACAAATACAGCGGGACTTTATTGTTAAGTCGTTTCAAATATTTTTGTCAGAATGTATTTGTTTTTACTCATTTTACAAGACACAAAAAAGATCCCTTGCAAAGGCATAACATACTGCTGGGGCAAATGCTGTTAGCGAGCACCTATAAGAGTCGGCATTGCACACGAGGGGGTGGGTGCTCAACACCGTGTCTTGTTAGTGGCGATTTTTACATGCCACATAAGGTACGAGTCGACCTGGGGGGGGGGGGAGGCCCATGACCGGTTCAGATAATCGTCACTGGTGTAGGCAATGAGCTGGAATCGAACTCTGTTCGCCAGGTTCGTAACACACACACACAAATATAAATCATACAGAAAATCCAAATGGGTCGGGGTGCTCTCAAAAAACAATAATAATAACAAAAAAGTTATCCGGGTTTTTTTTTTTGGCACGATGTCCGATAGTTCTTGCTCAACGTGCTGAGTGGCGGTGGGGGGGGCTCCTTGAGTTCAGTGGGTTGAGGTCGGCGCGCGAGCACGTGGAGCAAAACGTCGGACTTCCTGCTGAACAACAACGCGCGGAACAGCCTGAAAAAATGTCGGGGGGGGATCTGTGGTGCTAAAATCGTGGAAACCTATGCAGTAGAAAAATGAATACATTTTTTGTTTAAATAGTAGGAGGGTGGGGGGTGGGTTTGTTGTTGCAGAATTGATAAGTCGTTGGTCATGGCGTGCCTCTGCGTTGCTTGTTCTGTGACGACTGAGAGATGATGGAGTGATTTGGAGATGGTCGCGCCTTGTTACACACGAGTCCACGTGTTCGGGACATGCTCTCTATAATTAACTGACAGCGCCGTGTCGGCGGCGGTAGCGCGGCAGCATCTCGGCTTGTCGGTCGAATCTGCCCACGAGGCACTCTTGCCTTCATTAGGGGCGCATCACGGTGCGCCAGGTTATCCCGGCTGCATTAACTGCGCTCTCTATCGATAACGATTGCCCCCGGTCAACTGCCGCAAACCCGTGGGTAAAACAAAGTGTAAACAAAGCGTTAACAAAGTGTTAACAGCCAAACAGTGACTCGTTATATAAGCAGACCCATTCAAAATGTAGACCGACGTCGCTCCTTCAGCACCGACAACAGAAACGGCAACAATAGTGACGATAAGAGGGATGCTGCCATAGGTGTAACGGTCGGCTCGCTGCGGACTTGCGGTGTAGAGGTCGCCGGTTCGATTCGGTCTCCCGACCCGGCGGTCGAGACCATGGGGGCTACGTTTCCTTGAATTCCCCACTTCTACAATTGGGGTACACCACAGTTAGTCCATCGACGGGTTCGCGTTGCGGGGAGCTCAAATGTGGGATATTCCATTAAGCTTTTGCCAGTGGGAGAGAGTAAAACAGTCCGCAACAATAATAATAATAAGAGCGAACAACTCTACTGCTGCACCAATAATGTCGTTTTAAATTTGGGACATCCAATATACGCAACGTCAACCCCTGATATATTGCACAGTGCTGCGTCCAGCACAACATTTGACATTTAAGGACGGGGGTGGCGGGGGAATTGATTCCATCAATCGTTGCCGTCCAGGGACCATTAGGCTCGCATCTTTTTTTCGAGCTGGCGGTGGCACGTCTGTGGGCGTGGGCGTGCGGGCTCACGGCTGAGGGCGCAAGCGCGCCAGCTGGGGGCACGGCGTTCATTGCATCGTCGTGTAGCAGGTAACCAGGTGGTGCATTTAATCACATTTTTGTGCGGCTATTTCATCTGTCGTCTCCTTCGGTGGGAACCAAGGAGAGCGGCGAGGTTTTGTCGCCGTCGATCGCGTGCGTTCATCCACTGACGGCGACGTTGCGCCCAAGGCCGATGGCCTCTTCTTGAGTGTGGTTTTTGGGGTATTTTTTTTTCTACAACATTTGGCCAGGATGTAGGGGTTTACGGGCATTTTAGCCGGTCGCGAATAATATGGCAGTTCTTGCTGGCTTATTGTTTCATAATCTCTGCCAGGGCTTAATTGCATCGGGAGGGAGCTGTTCAGGGCTTTGCTCTGGAAATATGTTTTGCTCCCAGCACACTACAACCCAGTATGCCTCTCGCTATTTGGCTCGCGTACAGCGCAGCATCTCCAAGTGGTCCTACTTGATTTGCTGCTGCTGCCCGCAGACTGACGGCAGGTGCTGGGTGGGTGCTGGGCGAGGTATGCATGTATGTATGTAGACCTTTTGTCGCACCATACAAAGTCAACCATGCTAATCGGAGCTGCAGGGGGAAGGCCAAACGATTTTTAATTCTAGATTATTTAAAAGTGCAGAGCTCCAGTGGCTTCCGAACAACGGAAGGAAGAGCGTTCCAGACGGCCGCAGAAGCGCGTCTGAAACCGCGCGATGCGGTGACCGTCATTGCTCGACGGTGAGACGGTCACTGCATCGCGCAGCTTCAGATGCTGTGGCTACGCGCCCACTCGTCACAGTCCACCACCTCTCCAGTCTACGAGTGGTCATCGTCAGTCGCTTGCCCCCGGCCGGAGCTCCGCAAGGGTCCCACGAGACACTGCCAGGCCCGCACGATAGTCGTGAGCACGCCAACACGCCGAGCACAGTCCAGGACCCCCCCGAGGTGTTTGCCGTCGGCCTCACGGTCTGCACCGAGGTTGGCTCCAGCACCGCTACCGGTGATGATGGCGGTGGCGAGATGTTAACTACCTCGGCTGGTATGCGGCAAGGTTGTTGTGGGTTCGATCCCGACCCTAACGCCTGCTCTATATTTGGAGTTTGCATGTCTCTCCCTCTGCGGTTTCGTGGATTTTTCTCCTGGTGCTCCGGTTTTTCCGACCACAGTAAGAAACGCGTGCGTTTAGGGTGCTTGGCTGCTGCCGTTATTTCCACGTGATAAGCCACTTCGTTCAGCCATCATTTGTGGCCAGGTCGCTTCTGACAAGCATATTTATTGCTCAGTGGGCCTTACCTGGTAAAATAAAAACAAATAGTATAGCTTAGTTTATAAATAGTTTTGTTTGGTGGTGGTGGTGGTGCGCAGGACTCTGATGCAATGAGGCCCGAGGCGTCCGCCCGGGCGTCGTGGGTCCTGAGAGGTTGAAGTTCCCTGGCCCCTGACCGTTTCGGTCACCGCCGGGGAGACGCTCTTCGCCAGTGGACCCCCGGTGTTGGCGATGGCACGTCGATGAAACGGAGGCGGGAGGCTTCCGTCGCGGGCGCCACCGCTTGAACGTGTCCACTTTCCCGAGATGTTTCTCACAGAGGCCCTGTGAGAAACATCTCTTTCCCCTGCGCCCTGGAACATTTTCAGTTTATGAACTAACTCCGTAGCTCTTAACTAAGCGATGTTATAAGAGGCACTTTGTCAGTGTGGATCCATACACATTAAAGTTAAACTTCTATCATCATTGGCAATGGCCGAGGGTGGGAGTGCTGTTGGCAGATCCTATTACCCCGAGTTTGTCCGTGGAAAATGACTTTCCGTGTGGCTATTCAAGGATTGATGCAGATAGCAGGATTAATTTTAACGACGATTTCTGAGCGTCTCCTCCACTTATCTGTAAGAAACGTGGATGTTAGGATTAATGTCGCTTATCCGTGAAGCCACGCGCAGCTTTTGTGGTCACCCAGGTCACTCTTGCAAATGAGACTCATCCTGGTCCCCTTGAGTTCTCTCACCTGGTTCAACAAAATAAGCGTGGAACTTGACATTTGACTCGGTGATGCATATGTGGATAATAAGATCAGTTGGCACTGGCAACTAAGTAACTTGCTGCTATCTGTGGAAAAGGCGTGGATGGCAAGAAGAATCCATTTTGCGGACTAACATTATTCTCTGACATTATATTTAGGATGCGGAGTACATACAACCATCGGATAGTACGCTCTCCGATTAGAGCAGCTTCACTATTTTCACCGCGGGCCTGTGTGTCGACAACGTGTGGATGCGTACGCGCCATTGCCAAATGTGGGTCTATAAATTAATCAGTCGGTTTGGATGGAAATGGGCAGGGGGGGGGAGGGTGTTTACTCGTAAGAAATATGTGGACCCCTCCAAATTGCACCGTGGCTTCCGAAGTGCGTGGTGAATCTGTGGGCATGGTGCTGCAGACCCTGCCTGCACTCCCACCCCCACCCAGTGGCCCCTACCCATGCACCATCCTTTTTTTTATTCTTTCCCACAGCCTGGCACGAGTTTGGCAAATTGCCCAAGACATTAGATTACTTGTGGCAATACATCTTTTCAGGGCCCGGGATGGCTTCCCACTGCCCCCCCCACTCCTCTCCGTACTGACACGGCGTTACAGAATTTCTCCCGCGAATTGCTAATGATAGCAATTGTATACATTGGTGAAATAGCCTCCATGTATTAACGTGTTGATTCGGTTGAATGCGCGATGTTTGAGTCAACCTTGAGGTGCTCGTGATTTTATCATTGTGATGAATTTTTTTTGTTATTGTCCAAATCGTAATTTTGCTTGCATGTGCTGCAAGCCAGGTTCTTGTGGGAGGGCGGAGTGGTGCTTTTATGTTGCTGCGTGCCAATGGTTGTGACTCGAATTCAATTCTAGGGCAGCCCTGCAGTTGCTTGTTCAAGCCACTGCTGGTGGAAGGGCCTCTACTAGAGGGGCTCAAGAGAGACCCTATAGAGAATATCTTTAGCCTAGTCATCCACAAAGTCCAGATGGGTGTATGTATACTATATATATGAAGTGCACTGCAATGAATAATGGTGATGACAGAGGTGATGGTATTGATGATGATGATGATGACGATGATGACGATAATGATGATGATATTACACATTGATGATGATGATGGTAGAGGTAACGGCATTGACGACTACGACGATGACAGCAGCAGCAACAACAACAACAACAGTAATGAATCCCTCATCTCTGTGCCCCATGCGTGTCCCAACCACTCAGGAGAGATATGCGGTTTCCGCGTAAGTGGCGCGGGCGACATCCCCTTCGAGGTGGTGCTGGTGGACGGGCAGAGCGGTGAGGGCCTCGTGAGGGCCACTCACCCGCTGGGTTGTCCATCGCGGGGGCCTGACGACGCCGACACCGCCAACAAGGCTCGCCGTGACTACACCTTCTCCGTGCAGGCCTACGACTGTGGTGAGGGCCCGGACGGAACCGGCCAGAAGAAGTCACGCAAGTGAGTCACCACACACCCTCCCCCCCCCACCATTTCCGTATTTCGTGCCTCTCGGTCACGGTGCCACAGAAACGAGCCGCGGTGGCGAGATGTTGACTCCCTCGCCCGGTATGCAGGAGGTCATGACTAAGGTTGTTTTTGGGTTAGATCGTGTAAATAACGGAATCGCAATCAGAATGTTTATTTGTACTGAGGGAATCTGGTGAGCTATAAAGCTCTTTTTCACAGGTGCCCAGTAGGGGCGGGTAAGAACGTTACAACAACAACCAATACAAAAACATGATAGCAGTGCAAAGTATAAGAAAGGTAAACAAATACTCAAACGCATACAAATAAAACTAAAACATGTCGTTAACCCACCACCATCCGGTACAGCCAATTAGTGAGGGTTTGCCACGTAAAACAGAACGTGACAATTTGTTACTACTTCAGCACACCAATGTGGTTGGAAAGTGAAAGCACAACATTTACAATTTGAATGACGTGACATTTCGCTGGTGATTACAACCAGCATCATCGGGCGATTAGCCAGAATTGTGAAAATGTCTTTCCTGTGTCCGGTCTTAAATAGCATAAAGGTGTGATGGAAAAACTGTGAGCCTATTAGGGGCAAAGATCAGTGGTGTGTTAATGTAATCATATAATGTATTATGTTCACGTGAGAATCTGCAGTACCTGTTTATACAGGAGGTCATAGGTTCGATCCTGACCCTGACGCCTGTATATCTTGAGTTTGCATGTTCTCCCTGTGGTCGCGTGGATTTTTCTCCAGGTCTTCCGGTTTTTCCTTTCACATTTAGAATCAACATGCGTTTAGAGTATCGGGCTGCTATAAATTTCCACGTGATAAACCACTTCGTTGGGAAAAAATTTTTTTCCAAGGTCCCTTCTAAAAAAGACCCATATAGCTCAGTGGGCCGTACCTGGTAAAAATAGTTTAGTGTTATCGTTTAGTTTATGTATATATTTGTAATGAAGCCCTGCAATTGCTTACACCAATTATTCCCAACCTGTGACGGTATGGGGATGTTTTCATCTAGCAGTGGATAGACTGGCTGATTATGGGGAATGTCTGGAGCTTGACCCTGACGAGTAGCAGCAGGGGGCCCCACAGCACAGAGTGCTGGGGGAAGGGGAATTCCATACCTCGGGGGTAGTAATCGTACAAATGGTCACACGTTACACGGGTGTTTTAAAGTGATGTTAATTGTCACAATCGCTTTTAACTTAAACGGATAATGGAACGCTGTCGTGGATTCATGCTTGATTTGGAACCTTGGCTAAATTGGCACGGGGGGCAAATTACGTGGGGGGCTTGAATGGCTCAACTTTCCTGGCATAGGAAGGCATCTGTAGACGGCCACACCCTCGAAGCCAGGTGTCGGCTTGAGCCTCGGCGCACAGTCACCGCAGGATTGACGGCACGCCGGGCCGCACCTTTTGCGGTTGATGTAAAATCGGGGACGACATGATTTTTCAGGCGTTTGTTCTGCTCTCCCCTCCCTCCCCCCCCCCCCCCCAAAAAAATAAGTTATTTAATTGCATTCGGTGGGGGGGGGGGGGCAAGCTGCAGCTCCACTGGAAAGGTGAAATAAAAATAAGTGCGAGCACCCCCACCCCCCCTGTTGTGCAGCAGCCATTCCGGCAGCAATCATCGGCTATATGGGGCTCCCAGCAGGAGCAACTGCCACCCTTCCCCACTGCATTCTCCCTACCCGTTCACCTTTGAACTGTGTTAATGCAGCACAGACCATCGCTCATGGGCCCCCTGAGGCTTCAAGATCCCCCTCCACGCACCCACTACTCCGTAGCTGCAGGTTTCAATGATTGTAGCTGCTCTCCTCTGAAGCCCGTATTTTTTTCCACGTAATTGCCAAACATGCTTGTGCTTGAAACGCATTGTACAGCCGTCGCTTCTTGGCCCTTTTTGGCCGAGATCAAATGTGCAGTATCTCTTTTAATCGGTTGAATTTTTGACACGTACCGCAATGCCGGTTCCTTTTAATCTATTGATTTTTGGGAGACGGCGAGGTTTCGAGGAGGGGGGGGGGTGTTTGCTCGTCCCCTCTGCGCATCAAACCCAGTGTTACAGAACCTGCAGGACTCGTGCACCTGTACGTACGTAAGTACGTTGAACTTCGTTCGCACCGTACGTAGCCAACCGTGCTAATTGAAGGTGCGGGGGAAGGACAGCAAACTAAACACAAAACGCAGTGTAAAAAATGAGATTTCAATCTTGATTTTAAAGTGTATAGCTCCAGTGGCTTCTTAATATCGGAAGGAAGAGCGTTCCAGACGGCCGCAGAAGGGAGGGGGTGGGACAAAATACGAATTGTTAAACTCTGTGCAGCGCTGCAATTTCTTACTCGACCCACTGATGTCGAGCAGAAGGGCCCCCTGCTAAAGGTAGCTCTAGAGAAACCTTCTAAAAGGGTATTTTGACCGATTCTTCGACGCTAGCCAGATGTAGTTGAAAGCGATGGGAGTCCCCCCACACACCTGACCGACATCGGCTGGCTGTGCTGCACCCAATTGTTATGCCGTGTGGGCCGAGGGCGGCGCGTTGGAGGATCAAATTTAACTTGCGCCATTATTTCTACCGCCACGCGCTGGGAGTTCCGACCGGCGACCTCTGGTTCAGTCTGATAACTATTGCACCCATGAAATTCATTACGATTATTATTAGAACTACGTTTTTGAAAAGCGTTTTTTTAATGACTGTCAAATCTACATTCTGTTTGTGATTTACGCATCAGTTAGCTAACTTTGTTATGAAACTTTGTCGTTGAAAATTATACAGAGTGAAATGTTTTTTTTGCAAACTAGATTCGAAGCTTTCGCGACTGCAGGAATTACTCTTTGGTGCTTTCGGTAAAGTCACGTAGAAAGAAAATCAATTAAATAACAATAGAATCCTCCGGACGCTATGGGCAGGAATTCCACACAACGTTCCGTGCTTGTTTGTTTTGAAGTCCAGTACCCGGCTCGTCCGCCCCCTATGGGCAGGAATTCCACGCAACTCCCCCTCTGCCCCACCCCCCTCTCTCTCTTTAAGGCCTCGAGACAGAGACGTTGTCTTTCTGTGTGCCTATGTGTGTGTGTCTCTCTCTGTTTGTCTTTGTGTCGATTTTTTATCTCTCTCTAAAATTTAGCAATCTTTGGAAGAACGTAATCAACCAGGTGGTGTGTTGAATGTTGTGTTGGCCGACTCTCAGTGTTGCATTGCATTATATTTCTAAGTTTACTAGGTTTGTTTTCTCATTCATTTGTACCTGATGATGGTTGCTTGTGTTGCAATCGAAACGTCGTATTCTATTATTTTATTTATTTCTTACGTGACGTTACCGAAAGAACCAAATCGGTTTTTTTTTTTGCAATTGACTTTTTTTTTACTTTGTCTCGCATTTTTTAAACAGCTGAGCCCACGAACAGCTGCTCGGCAGAAACTGACGTGAAGCACTGATGCTAGACGGTGCTTCTCTGGGTGACAAAACACGCCAGACTAAAAAAAGGCTCTTCCGGGGGGGGCGGCGGGGGCGGAGGGATACGATGTGACACTGGAACACTGAGCAAATGCTGGTGGACGCCAGGTGAAAGCAAGTCGAATTTAAATATATATATAATTTTATAAGTGCCAAGAAATTACAGTCGCATTAGTGGAGCCGCCTGCCCCGTGAGAATCCGCATGGGTAGCCTTCCACTCGCGTTCAGGATATGAAAATATTAAATCGAACCCCCTGTGGAGGAAAAAAAAAGAATTACGCAACATTTTCTCAGGACCACCTGAGCGCCTCAAGCAAGGTCGGCTGGCGGAGGACGCCTCGACAATGGGACGTGATTTTGCAGCTTTTGCCGTTATTTTGATTAAACTAATTTGCATGCTTAATGATGTGCACTTTCAGAGGGCCGCAATCATCATCACAGCGTATTTGCCACCTGTGACCAAAGCTTATTTATTTAATCAATGTCAGCAATATCAGCGTTTTCTCGTGGGTGAGGTTTATTTGGTCTTCCATCCGTTAGCCGTGGCGTTGACGGGATCGCCACCACGGTGTAATGGTTAGCCCACTGGACTTTCAAATCGGCGTCACCGGTTTGACTCGATTTCTGGTGAGGCGGTTGGCGTTTCTTAATTCCCTGCCCTCCGTGCACCCACAAGTATGAATTTGGTAAGTCGATCGGCAGATAATGGATACCTCCCACTTCTTCGAAGACTTCTGGCCAGCTTGGAAGAGTGGACCACGTGCCCCTCTAGAGAGGGGCACTCTAGACAGACAGCCCTCAGTGGGAGGCCCGTCCTCCAGCAGTAGCATCTGCCACCAATAGCAGGATTGCACCTTTACCTGCCACCAATAGCAGGATTGCACCTTTACCTGTGCACATCGTTGTAATTATCTGGTAAGTGAAGAGTTGTTATTGGAGGGCTTTCTATCAATCTTGTTTCCTGGACCGAAGTATTTTTTGTTGTTGTATGGACCTTCAAAGAGCCCTCCACCTTTAATTCCCCGGGCTGTGCTTTTGTTGTATAAATAATTTATTTTGGAAGGAAATGTGAGTCGTTTGAAATGCTCAATCTCTTGGGCCAGGCAGAGACTAATCAGCATAGGTTTAACAATTCACCCCGCCGGTGATTTGATGAATAGTCGTGATTCAAGGTCGTGGTTCGATTCAAAGATCAATGGTTTTGTTTACATAGCGGTGATTGCAGCGGCCACTAGTGGCTGCAGGGGTCACGTGAACCCATTATCATGAATTGCAAAAACATCCATTATCAAAACGCGATTTAGTGCACATATCGCAAGTTCAATCATTATTTTAATCGACAAAACAATTAATATTGATTCGGTTTAACCACCTCTGCTAATTAGTGTATGCTGTATCGAACATGGAATTCTCCTGCTTTTGTAACATTTCCACTTAAAATGATAAATCGGTGCCTTTTTAAGATGGGGGAAAGCAGCTCGTTCGTTGTTAGTGACCCACGCTGGTAAGTGGGTTTC